TTTTTCAGCTATTAATTTATGTATTAGGATATAATTCTTTGCCAAATATTTATTGTGAATATTTTTCTCCAGTCTGTGGTTTGCCAATTCATTTTCTCAACAACGTTTGTTTTTGTTCATTAAAGGTTTTTTATTCCAATTTAGTCACAATGATTAACAAAGCTGTTTTTAATAGGTTTTCAGGCACACAATGTTCTTACCTCCAATCCCACCACCCCACAACTCCATCTATCCACCAGTAACCCAATTCCCTTAAACAGAAAAAAAAATTTTTTGATCAAGTCCAACTTATCAGCATTTTTTGCTTAAAATGTTTTGTTTTAAGGATACTACTGAAGGCTATCCATATTACAGTTTTTAAAAATGCAAACTGTATGGTTGTAGACTGTTTCTTCCCTTTTTTTAACCCACCTCCTTTTTTTACACCCCTCCCCAGTTTGTTTCCCATCTGTCCTTCCTTTCCTCAGGTAAACTTAGTTCTATTTTTAATATCAACTGGTTTTTTTTAAACTTCTTTTTGTACCTTTAATCAATTTTTATATCCTTTTATTGGATACAAAGATTAAATCATCAAATTCTTTTCTTTTACCTTCTGACACAATTCACCTCTCATAGTATTTTAATATTATATGCCATATATTCATAGTATGCAGATAATTAAAATAATTTAGAAAATCAGTAGTTTTGTTTATTCGGTTTGGTTTTTGGATCATACCTGGAGTTGCTCAGGGGACTATTTTTGGTTGTGGGGATGGAATCCAGGTTAACCACATGCAAGACAAGTTCCATATCTGCATACTATCTGTAAGCAATTAAACATAATTTTGCTTCAAGAGAAAAGATATTTTTCAAGTACTGCATTTTATAAATCAGAAACGGAGAGAGGAAAACTAAACAAAGTTGTGTTGTTGGAACTATGGGAGCATGAAAATCCATAGCCATTTTGTCACTCTTAAAAACTAAATCTCCACCAAAATTGCAAGAATTAGAAGAAATTATATTTGCTTTCAAAATCCGCTTTTGTCTTTTTTTACCTGCCAACATCAGAATTCCTCCTGGAAATAAACTTGTTATTAAGAACTGCCCTCCCTCTTCCCCCCAATCCCTAGTAAAGATTTTGTGTCAAAGTTTTTCATTTTATATATTTCTTCAGAAAGAGTTGCATTTTATGGTGAGATGGTGAATTGCATATTATAATCTTTCCCTTGTGTAACCCGCTGGCCTCTTTGGACCATTCATTTTTGCCCTTGCCTATGAACTTCGCCAGGGTGTGTTGAAAGGTTAACAGATTCCATTTCTGGAATTCTCTTGGAGCCGTCTTTGCAAGAAAGTGCCAAAGAATATAAGGAGTATTCAATCTATCTGGGATCTGCTAAATCCTTTGAGAAAAGCTCCACATAGCTATGCCTTCTGCCAGCTCCCTTCTGTTTTCTCCGTGCCTGGCTTCTTCATGATTCCATAGAAGAGTGCATATCTTTTGCTCCTGTGGGGAAAATACCTTTGGGTTCATTAGACACTAGAACATTTGTAATTCTTATCCATTACAAATAGAAATTTTGCCTATTCTCTGAGTTCTCCACCTCCTCTCTTTCCTAGCCTCATCTCCCAGGTTCATGAATGCTTCCATTACTCATTCTCTCATGTGTTCATCAATAGTCAGGGATGACCAGAGTTGATCTCAGAGAATTCATTGCCCACAATTGTTGAAAAAACAGAGGAAAACAGGAATGATGAAAATATTTCTGAAAGTGTGGGAGGGACCTTCTAGCAGCAGCTGCTTGAGGAGTATTGGGTCATAGGGTCACTCCATTAACTCCCAGTGATTCTATAACATAAGCCAAGAAATGTGGTTAATTGTGACTTTTTATTGCAAGAGGTAGTAAAAACCCAAAGTCACTGAAACATAAACATATTTTAGCAATTTATATAACTGAAAAGCTCAGAGGCAGGCTGTCTGCTGTAACTAAATGTGGAGTTCAGATACAATTATGCTGCCACTGGTTTTTCTATAGCTTGCTTCTCATCGATTTAGTGTTTACTTAGTACTGGTTCATTCACAGACAGGTTCTCTCCTCAGATTCATAATAGGGCTTCAGGAGCTCAAAAACTCTATATCTTCTTAGTTTCATACCCCTAGGTTGTCTTTGCAGTTAACCATTTCATAGTTAGAAGGGTTAGCTGGATTCCAGCACACAGAATTGCATTGCCATTCCTGGAGCTCTGACACTCCTGGGAATTAATAATTAATCTGGAGCTGATCCACAGTTAAGACTTGTGATCTGAGAGAAAAATCTCTTCATACTGATCAAACATTTTTTAATCTTAAAAATGTTTTCTTGTTAAAAAAGAACTTAGCTTTGTGGTTTCTTCTTGTAGCCTAAACTATTTCAATTCTAATCTATGGTACATTCTGCTGGGATTTCCTAAAGAGCATTGTTTTATTGATGCTAGTTGGGTTGTGTGCCCACTGCTGATGATTCTCTGTGGGACTATGATATGTAATTGGCCTCAGCCTAGATTGCTTTGGTCCACTTTTCTTTAGACAGGCATACCCTACCTGACTACATGGATTGAGCATGAAGAAAGAGGAAGATATACTGGGAACTAAGTTGAGTTTATCATAAAATAGTGAAATAGAGCATTTGGAGCAAAAAATATCAGGTGTTTAGGGCATTGCCATTTTGGTAAAGGTAAAGGTAAAGGCCCTCCCGTTGATCGTCGATTTGCTCGAGCAGGCCCAGTAACGTCTCCATTGGAGACTTTGTTGTTACTGTGTCTGGCATATCGAATACTCTCGGTAGCTTGCCGGGCTCTCTGAGAGGGGCGGAGGAATCGAACTCGGGTCGGCCATGTTGGCCGCTTGTAAGGCGAACGCCCTGCCCGCTGTGCTATCGCTGAATATGTTATTATTACACAGTAGCCTCAACTAGGGAGTATTAGTTCTGTGTAGTCCAGCACAGATAACTTTAAAGGTATTTTGGATCAAAGGTAGATCCACTCTGCTAGTAACTCACCATCATATTCCATGAACCTTTTCCTCAGTTAGGGTATTATAGCTTCACTATGGAACAACAGCTATTTCAAGGTACTGGCAAAGGAAAACATGACCCATGGCCAAGGCAGACAAAGCCTTAAGCGGCTTTAAACAATAAGTCCCACCCCATAGACTGCATGCTTTTCTTCCCTCTTTGTCTGATACCCCCTGAAGTTCAGTTGGCAAGTCAGCCTATATGTAGAACAGTGGAGCCTCAGGTCAGACTGTGTCTAGTGATTTCAGCTCTGCTGTGGGCTGAAATTCCATCTGTCAAGAAGATTTTGCAGTCAGCCATTTGATAGTGGAAGGGTTTGCCCATGAAACTAGATTTCCTGCCTATCTGGAAAGAGGAGCACCCCAGGAGATCTGACATGCTCTGTGAAAATTAGAGGTTAGTCTGTGCTTTTCCCTGTTATGTCTTTGTGGAACTTAATGTTTTTCAACACTTGAGGATTCTCTCTCTCTCTCTCTCTCTCTCTCTCTCTCTCTCTCTCTCTCTCTCTCTCTGTCTCACACACACACAGTAGAATTTCTCTATTTTTTAAATTATGAACTTCAGTAACTTTATGGCAAGAGACTAATCAACATCAAGCTATTTACTTCCTTGCAAAGCAATTTCCTTTCTGTCAATGCAACACATGCATTTTTACTTAGTTGTAATTAATTTAATTTCTTAAAATTTTTTTTTTGTTTAAGAAAGGTTTTCTTTATCTTGGCATTCAGACTTGTTTTCATAGCAGAAGCAAATGAGAGTGAGAAGAACCCTTCATTGGAAGGTGTGGGGCTGTATGGGTCCGTACTCTTTGAGAATTAAAGAAACCACAAGGGACCAGAATCTTCCCTTATCTTTGAGGACCAAGGTTTGTCCTGAGAGATTGATTCACTGGAGCAATTTCAAGGTCTCACTCTCACTCCACAAGCATCAAGAAGAATCTAATGGAAGGATGAAATCCCAGCCTCCCTCACTGGCTTTTTGTGTGGGAAGAAAGAGGTATCCAGCAGCCCTGGGACAGTTCTCAGGAACATTCCCCTCAAGATTTTTTTTTTTAAAGTGTAATCGCTCACAGATACTTTCCAGTCTATGAAAGCACAAATTTGCCTTTTTTTTCCCCCCAAGTCAAGGAAATAGTGGAGAGAGGTTTAATTAAAAACAGCAACTATTTGCACAGCTGTCCTGAAGTTTGTGGCTTGTGGACATTTTGCTCCAAATCCTACTGCCCAAGTCCTTCGGGCGATTCAGACACTGGCCGGGGCCCTGCAACTGGGCAATGCCAGGCCTGGCTTTCTGTGTGCCTTGCAGGGGCAAGCCCGCCCCTGAAAAGCTACTGGCAGTCATACAGTTCTGAGCACATCTGGCTGGATAAAGCAAAAAGAGCAGAATTTCGAGACCCACAAGTTCACGTCTTGTGTCCGAGGCACTCTGAGGCCTAAAAGTTCCTGAAATTTCCCTAAGGGCGGGAAAGTGAAGGAAGAGGACCAGGCACAGCCAGTGCTCCTTTTTCAGAGTATCTCTCTACCTCCCACCGAGTGGGCTTCCCGGGGTTGGGGGGAGGGTGGGTGTTGGTGATGGTGGGATGTGGTGGTGGCGGCCGGGGAGGGAGGGTGAAGGGAAGGGGTCCTTGGACGCCTTCCTCTCGAGGTCCCCAGCCACCTCCACGGAGAGGGTGACATGTGGGACGGGGGCAGGGGGGGCCTCTGCAGCGGTAGGGGCGGGGTAGCCCTGCAGATCCATGTCTCCACACAAAAGCGGCAGGTTTCGCTGCAGTGCCCAGGAGAGGATGAGCCGAGCTCAGCACCGGGCTGGTTTCCAAGCGCACGGAGCGGCGCTTCGGACCATCTCAGGTGCCATCTAGCCCATTTGGCCTTTAGGCGACCTCTGGGGTGCGTGCGGGTCCCCCAGCTGCCGATCGGCGGGGCCACTCCAGGGCTGGGCGGCGGGAGCGGCGGTTTGGGCAGTGACCCCCCGCGCCCCCCGCGCCCGCGCCTCGCCGCAGCCGCTCCACCGGCCCGCCCCGCGCGCGCTCACGACATGGCCAGCCCCGCGCCCTTGGTGGCCTCCATCAGCCACCAAATGGTGGCCCTGCAGACCCTGCAGCTGGTGCAGCAGGAATGGGGCTGGGGAGATGGTCCCGGCGCGCTCGGGAGCCCCTGCGATCCCGACCCCTTGCCGGCCACCCCGGCGCGTCGCGCAGGCCCGGGGCGCACCCGGCCGGCACCCCGGCGACTGGAGGGAGGCGCGGCCCGGGGGAGCCGGGGTACGGGAGCCGGGCTGCCGGCGGGCTCCCCTGACGTGGAGGGGGCGCGCGGGGCAGAGGGGGGTGCGGAGCTGCTCCCCTTCCCCCGCGGCCGGGTGCCCTGCACCCTGGCCCGGATGGCGATGCGCAGCGCGCTGGCCCGCGTGGTGGCCTCGACCTCGGAGCTGGTCAGCGTGGAGCAGACCCTGCTGGGCCCCCTGCAGCAGGAGCGGCCCTTCCCCATCCATCTGAAGGTGAGTGTGGCTTCCAGTGCACCTTGGACGCCAGGGACCCGCCCAGGGAGGGAGGGGGCCGGGCTGGAGACCGGGTGTGGCCCGAGCACGGTGAAGTGGCTGCCCACAGTTACCCTGGCAGCGAGAAAGGAACTGGACATCTGGGCCCGCACTTGGGGCCAACCTGGCAGGGGAACAGAGAGACCAGGAAGGCTCCCCACAACCTCCACTGAGCTTCTTTCTCCTCAGAAATCTGCTCCCTGCACTCCCTGAGGCCCTGTCCCAAGTGAAAACCCGGGAGAGGACTACTCCCTTCTTCCCCCCTCCAAATGACAAACCCTTTCTCCAGACCCGAAATAATCACTTGAATTCCTTCTTCCTTCTGTTTTCTGTTTTGGCGGGGTGAGGGGTGTGGGAGTGGGGGGGAAGAACCTGCATTTATTTAAAGTACCTTTACAATTAGGAATTGCAGTTACTTTTGCATGATTACAGTTTGCTGGAGAGCCTACCAGAATCCTCTAAATTCTACTGCATCCTCAAGTTCCTTAGTGGGGTGAAACTGAGGTGAGTCCTGGGGGTTGAAGTATCATTATTGCTGCCAAACTCGGGCCAAGCTTCCCCCCCACCCCCCATGTGGCTCATATGTGTAGGCACAGTTCGGGGTGATCTGCTGTGTTCCAGACTAATTGGTGTGATGAAAATATGGGGATCTGCTCCTTCCTCTAGGTCTTGCTCACTGACTAACCTAATAGGTTTAAAGACAGAAGTCATTCAGAGATCTTCTGTATGCACTGGGGCATTGTCTATTTCCTTCCTCTTGGGGGTTTAATTCTGGCAGTGTAGGAGAGGTGAGGAAGAAAACAGAGCGCTTAGAGTTTCTTTTTTCCTTTCTGAAAAGTAAAATAGTTTTATTAAGAGAAAGACAGAGGGACAGTCGGTATCATAAAGAAAAGGAAGAAAAAGTATGCACCCCAAATTAGATGTGTGCAAGTTCATAGATAGAGTTACTTTTGTCCTCCAAGTCAAGATTTGGGGGGAAGTAACTATCATCAGGTTGCTATAAAAGGTTTACTTTAAAATGTTACTCTATACTATAAAGTACACTATAAACTTGGGCTGGAGTTATAGCACAATGGGTAGGACGTTTGCCTTGCATGCAGCGGACACGGCCGACCCGAGTTTGATTCCTCTGCCCCTCTCTGAGAGCCCAGCAAGCTACCCAGAGTATCTCACCCGCACGGCAAAGCCTGGCAAGCTACCCTTGATGTATTTGATATGCCAAACACAGTAACAATTGTCACAGTGGAGACATTACTGGGCCCGCTTGAGCAAATCGATGAATAATGGGAGGACAGTGACAGTGACAGTGATACTACAAACTTACTATATACATAAAAGTTTTACCTAAAACCAAACAATAAAGTATATCATCATACCCTGGAATAAGTTACAATGCTTGGGTTTCTTAGCCAAATACTATTGACATTTTGGACTATGTATGCATTGTGGAACATTTTACAGTTTCTGTGGCTACCTGCTACACAAAGCTGACAGCAAACTTCCTCATCCCCAAGTTGATACACTAAATATGTGGTGGAGAAGAGGACTAGCTCCCAGTTCAAAGCACTGCTACATTCCCCCTGGAAATTTATAAATGAAGCTGATTTCTTTTTGCAACACCAATTTAAAAGTCTTACCAGTTACACTATGACAGCTCTGTTTGTAATACACATCCTCGTTTCAGAGATGCTTTTGAATGTGAAAATATGTTCACTTTTGAACTGGTGGAATTTGAAGTGTTATATGATATTAGAAGTGTATACATGGATAGGTTGGCAAAAGGAGAGAGTAGCAACGAAAGTCTCCAATGGAGACGTTACTGGGCCCGCTCGAGCAAATTGATGAACAACGGGAGGACAGAGTCAGCGACAGCGATCCTAGAGAGCTTCTTGGAAAAGGCTTTTTTTTTTTTCTAAAAAATTTACTCTCCATGCATAAAAGGGAAAAACATTTCAGGGGAATTGTGTGATCAAGATGCAGAAGCAATAAAAAGACTCGGGGCTTTGGAGGAACAAAAATTAGTTTACCACAGCAAAATGTAAAAAAAAAAAAAGAAAGAAAGAAATATGGTGTAGGAGAGGTAAGTGGGGAGATTAGGATCTTGGACTGTCTTGCACACCCAAGGCAGGAATGGTAGAGGAGGTTGGAGTTTGGGAATCTGGCCAAAGGGGCTGTCACCATCTTGAAGCAATGATACCTTTGGCTCTGGAAGTAGGCCTTACAAATCAGGTCTTTTGAGTTTAGTCTACTGTCTATTAACTTCTACTTGGTGATCCTTTCAAGTCTATCTACCTGACTTCATACTGTTTTTCACCTCCATCCACATATTTTACAGCTTCTCTGAGAAAGTGGAGGCCAGGAGTAGATTTCTTTCTGAGGTTTAAGACTATCACCACTTTTTTTCTCATTTGCAAATTCTTTCTCTTTAAGTAAGTCTTTCCTCTGTGCCTGGACTTAATCAATTCCCCACTCCCTATTCTATTGGTTCCTGGCAATTCCTATCAGTTTATAAACACACCAAAACTTCTTCCCCTCCTCAGCTCCTTGAGCTTTACTTCCCCATTAGGATCAAGACCCCTGGCTGTGTATTCATTAAGAAGAGGTCTGGGGTGATAGTCCAAAGAGATGCAGGACATACAAGTCAGATTTCTAGCATCTCGTGGTCCCCTGAGCACCTATGGGGTTGATCAGGTGGCCTATAGCATTGCTATGCCCAAAAAAACCTGCACAATAGGACAGAGCACCGAACCTTTAGGCTTGCACAGCTGGATCAAGGGGCCCCTCAGTCTTCTGAGCATTACTCTTACCTTCCCCTTCAAAAGTTAATTGAAAAAATTTTAAAATTTTTAAAAGAATAGGGATACTCAATTTTCTTTTTACAGCCAAAGTCATCTGCAGGCAAGAAATGAGTTTCAAGTTTCCTCAAAACAGCCAATATTTTCAGAATAGAGAACCAGGGAAAGATTCTTGGGATGATTTATCTCTGGGCTATCACCTGGGAATTTTTCTTGGTTTGCTGTTTAAAGAAAATGTAGTGTCTACATATGATTTTTAGAATAATGATTTTAAAGAATTTAGAGGCAGAATTCTTTTTGGGAAAGCACTAGTTATTAGAAGTAAAAGGTAAAGGTAAAGGCCCTCCTGTTGATCATCGATTTGCTCGAGTGGGCCCAGTAACGTCTCCATTGGAGACTTAGTTGTTACTGTGTCTGGCATATCGAATACCTTACAGGGAGCTTGCCAGGCTCTGCCGTGTGGGCGAGATGCTCTCGGTAGCTTGCCAGACTCTCCGAGAGGGACGGAGGAATCGAACTCGGGTCGGCCATGTTGGCTGTGTGCAAGGCAAACGCCCTACCGTAGTGCTAATTAGAGATAGTAATGGAGAGGCTAGAGAGATAGTATAGCGAGTAGTTGTTTGCCTTACCATCTCGGGTTTGATCCTAAGTACCCCATATGGAAATCCCCACCAGGAATGATCTGAGCAGAGGGCTAAAAGTAAGCCCTGAACACTGCTGGGTAGAGTCCCCAAACCCAAACCCAAACCAAACTCAAATCAAACCAAAACAAAAAAACACTTGGATGAATGTTTTCTATTTTTTTTAAACTGAGAATCTGAGGTGTGATTCTAGAGAGCAGAATGATTTCACAAGGATTTGTGCTAATGGAAATAACAAGTGTCACATAGAAATGGGAAGTCTGGGAAGTTCCATTCCATAGTGTTACATGCTGTTGAGAGAGAGCAACTAAGCTTGTGACTCAGATGATAGGCATTAGGTCCCTGAGGTGACACATGACAATAATCAGGTCTCCATAGAACATTTTATTTTTATTTTATTTATTTTAATAATTTATTTCTTTATTGAATCACTGTGGGAAAAGTTACAGAGCTTTCGGGTTTAGGTCTCAGTCATATAAATATCAAACACGTTTCCCTTTACCAATACTTATTTTTAACCGCGAACCCCAATAGAACCCCACCTCCCACCCCTCCCAATTCCTGTGAGGCAGATGAGTTCTAGTTAATACTCTATCTACTTTGACTAGATACATTGTTTCGATAGAAGATGCACAATTATTGTTTAGAGTTTACGACCACCCCCCCATCAGACATGCTGAAACAGCGTTGTGAAATGATTTGCTTTCTACAACTTGGTTTAAGAATAAAATGATGTTGCGCGGCCGCTATTGCTGCCGCGCGGTTTTGGATTTCTGCTATTTTACTTATTAACCCTGGAAGAATTTCTATTAAAAGTTAGATAGTTAAGAGATTGGTTTCTGTGCTCTGGAGTCGTGGCCGTGCCGGAGAGCCGCTCGTGGGGGGCAGCTGGCGACCTCGGTCGGGCGTGAAGGACGGCCCATTAAGCCCCCCTTCCCATGAGGTCCCTGCCGCCCCCACCTGAGGCTCATACCTGCTGTCCAGAAGGCTCCCGTACGGCCGCCATCTTTCTTTCCCTCCATAGAACATTTTAAAGACATTCTATCAATTCTTACCATAGACCCTTGGGCAAGTACTTCAGCCTTCCTGTGCCTCTGTCTTTTCACCTATAACACAGGAAAAGTAGGATATTGCTTTTCAGATTGAGACAAAGTATGTAAAGTCTTAATACTGGCTCCCCATGGTAAATCTCAATACCTTTGATCTGTTATTTTATTTTGAGAGTATTCGATATGCCAGACACAGTAACAACAAAGTCTCCAATGGAGACGTTACTGGGCCCGCTCGAGCAAATCGACGATCAACGGGAGGGCCTTTACCTGTATTTACCTGTATAATAGCAGGTGAAGCTTGCTAATATATGGATTCTGATTGGCTGTTTTTATTGTGGATTCCTTTACTAATATTGATAGATTTGACCTATGAATTCTGCTTTTTTCTAAGGATATTGACAACAGCATGGTTAGAAAGAGTCAAAGATCACCATCGTCTCTGCCTGTGACTGAGACAGATGCTGTCTTGTGTG